ATATATTTCCCAAAAATCATGGGTGACAGCCTGCCCGTTCACCAACCTACTGCACTCGGCCCGGGGAGGGACATCGAACCAGGCCCTGGAAGCCGTGGGGGCGCGACAGCGGGCGCCTATGTGACACCTGCGGCCTTGGCCGCTACGGCCAAAAAAGTCGATCGTGGCCGCGGCCAATGAGGCCCATTCCGCGGCCTGATTTTTCAATATTTTTTTTTCACCCCTAAAGATACAAAATAAGTAAATAAATAAATAAATATAGGGGTGTACGATTTGGAAAACCCTACAATCCTATGTTTTTTATTTTGGAATCCGACTTCGTTTAAGATTTTTAGGAAATAAAAAACGAAATTGGATTTAAACAAAAATGGCTACGATCCGGACGTCCGGACCGCCGTTCGGACGGTCTGGATTCAGTCCGGATTCCAGACGTCCGGTCAGGAAGGTCTGGATCTGCCAAATTTGAGGGGAACAAAAATAAAACAGTCCAGGGGCCTGGACCCACTAGCAAGAAATTCTACCACGCCGTTCAGGATTTCGATCACGTGTGGCATCGAGTGACTCAGTACGGCCGTCGAATAGATCGGATCTCGACGGCCTGGTAGTTTCTGAGCGGGGACTGTAAAGATGCCCACCTCCCGTCCAATGAGATGCGTCAAAAAAAAAGAAAAAACGAAGTTGGACTAACTTGGACATGATAGCTCGTGGCTTTGCGTGGGCGGGAAGTCAGGATTTTATGGGCTCTAGATGGGGGGGTTGATTTCCAGACTTCGTTTTTTTTTTTTTTTGGCTCTGAGAAATAGAACTCGAAATGTGAAATTCGAATATTGTGGTGCATCTGACAGGAACGCTTCCGCGTTTGTCGGATGGCCTGCTAAAGGCATCATGATACATCGCGAGGAATATATCCCAATACCCGTTACTTGTTCATCCTCGTGAATGTGTTCGTGGACACATTTTATTGCCACAGTACATCACTATGAAGACTTACGTGAAGGAGATCATACCAACCCATGAATTCGGGTGCACAACTGTTCTTCATAGTTTTATGTCCTATTTCAATTCATTTTAAATCAGAAAAGGATCCATTCATGCAAATAAAAAATCACTTTGTATTTTCCAAAAAACCATAAAACTGTGTCACACGTCATAGAATACTTCGTTAGTGGGTCCAGGCCCCAGGGCCCTTCCCCATTGAGGAGCCAAGCCCCCAAAATTATTTCGGGAAATTTGGGTTTTTTAAAGGCCCGTTTATGCTTTTTTGGGAGGTCTGGACATGCTCTCTCTCTATAATAATTTATTAGACAACCCCAATTTTTTAATTATTAATAATTCATTACCTTTTATTGGTTTTTGAAGTCTTTTTTATAGTTTTTGACTTCTAACTCAAGTTTGGTTAGGAATTCTGACATGATTCTGCATAGCATTTTTTTTTTCAGATTTTTTTTTTTCTTTTTTAATGCTCCGGTTTCCGGACCTGTCCAAGCATCCGGACGGTCCAGATCCCCCCATGTTCGGAGGTCCGGAAATGTCCAAAATTCCGGATGTCCGGAAACTACCGGACACGGGTCCGGTTCCATGTCCGGAAATGTCTGGATCGAGGTCCGGCGTAGCCATGCAAAATAAAAAAATAAAAAATAAAAAAAGCAGGATTTTTTTTTGGCATTTTTTATCACGAGGGATATCGTCCCTGAGTTGTGCTGTATTTTTTTTAGAAATGACTTAACGATTTTTTGTAGGGAAATGAGGTGTTTTAAAAAAATGAAGATGCAAAAAATTATAACAAATAATGAAAAAAAGGGTTGATTGATTGATTGATTGGTTTGATTGATTTGATTGATTGATTTGATTGATTGATTGATTGGTTGATTGATTTGATTGATTGATTGATTGTGTGTGTGTGTGTGTGTGTGAGAGAGAGAGAGAGAGAAAGAGAGAGAGAGAGAAAGCAGAGAGAGAGAAGAGAGAGGATGTGTGTATGTGTGCGTGTGTGTGTGTGGGTGTGTGTGTGCGTGCGCGCGTATGTGTGTGTGTGTGTGTGCGCGCGCCTGTGTGTGTGTGTGTTTGTGTGTGTGAGTGCGCGTGTGTCGGGGGGAGCGGAGGGAGGACCCCTCCCCCACCAATCAATCAATCAATCAATCATTTTTTAATTTTTTTTGTCACACACCAAAAACCACCCCCCCAATTTTTTTTTTTGTTTTCTTCTTACAGGGTGATAACGGCCGACGTGTGGCGCGCGCGCCGTTTTCCCGCACGCACCCCTGCCTGCGGCCGCGCGGCCTCGGCCGCGGCCGAGGCTGCAGGATCCGCGGCCGACGGTGCCACATAGGCGGGCACTAAGAGGTGAGTGCACTTCAAGGCAGCGGGGCACTAGCGGCCATAGTCAAGCTGCAGGGCAAGGTGGAGAAGGGCGACAGGGGGTCTTTGGGAGGATCAGAAGTGGGTGACAGGGGGTCTTTGGGAGGATCAGAAGTGGGTGACAGGGGGTGATGAGGGGAGACGAGGATGTGTACCTGGTGTATGTGGGAGGTCAGCATTGGTGTTGACGACATGTACATTGCTTTCAAAGTCGAAGTGAGCCTGTTGCATGAACGTAGATAGGCTAGGTGGGCAAGTAGAGTAGGCTGGGCGCTGGGCGGCAGACACAGAGGAGCGACATTGAATTCTGTGCTGGTGTGGCCTGAGAGCTTGAACATTGGCTCACAAGTTCATTGTATTGCTCTTATTTGGATGGAATCTTCGTGCATTTGAGCTCTCTGCTTGTTACATGACTATGTGGACTTCTGCGTGATTTTGCAACTTGGTTTCTGTATATCACCCTCGCTTATATTCCTTGCATCAATCACTATTTTTTTTTAAATCACTTCTACACCCACGGTCTGGTATGAACACATTCTGCTCGACAACCCCTTCCCCATCCCTCACAAACGGCTCTTCCCCCTCTGACGCCTCTGCACTTCCACCAAATATTTGCAGCATCAGCAGGCTACCCTTCATCATGGCCTCCAGCATGGTTACCTTCAAGCTGAAGACTGTTCAAATACTAGCCCCATTCCCCCTCTAACCACCCTGCCAACCCCAGGCCATCCAGCAGCATTTTCAAGGTCGAAAGAGCCGCCAACTTAGGCGGGGACTGTGTTCAGTGTGTTGGGCTTTTACTAACAATAAAGTTGAATAAAATCTGTTGTGCGCTTTTACAATTAATAAAGTGTAACAAACTCTATTATGAGAATTTTTATGCGTCAGCACAGGTCAGCAAGTACTCTGCACCTTCACCTCCTTCACAGTGTTCACACCACCCTGGCCCCACCTTTCTGGCTTTCATGCAGAATAAATAGATTCATACTTCCACAACTATCTACCCCCTATGCTGGCCCCAAGTTCGCTTTCACACACACTAGACCCTGTTTGCAGAAGGTTCACACTCCAGAACACCTCAACTACACCCCCCACCCTGCCGCCTGCTTCACAATACCCTGCCCCCATCTTACCCCACCTGCCGTCCAGCGTAGACTCTGTTTGCAGAAGATTCCCACTTCAGGACACCCCAACTACACCCCCCACCCTGCCGCCTGCTTTACAATACCCTGCCCCCATCTTACCCCACCTGCCGTCCAGGCTCTTTCCTTACCCCGCTACTGTACGGCGAGTAAAGAGCAGCAGTGGCCCGTGGGCAGTAGCCAAATACCGAACCGCAGTCACAACCAGTATTTACACTGTGCAACACATGTACATAATAACACAGTTTCGTATATACAATGACTGGCACAAGGGAGACAATGGTGAAACTATGGCAAAACTGTTCTCTTTCTCGTGTGCAATCACTGCCGCCAAGAGCTTCACATGACAGCTTCGGATAACTCCCCTTCCCAAGTGCCTCCCTACATCATCCTCTCCCTCCTCCGTTTCCAAAATCAGCCAAACAACAGCCACATTTTTTTACCTCAGTTCCGTTTCCAAAATCAGTCCAACAACAGTCAACATTTCCCCGCTCAGTATAACACAGATTCTGTACCATTGCGGTGTGTGTGTGTGTGTGTGTGTGTGTGTGTGTGTGTGTGTGTGTGTGTGTGTGTGCGTGTGTGTGTGTGTGTGCGTGTGTGTGTGCGTGTGTGTGTGTGTGCGTGTATGTGTGCGCGTGTGGGTGGTTTTTGTG